TATGCCTTGTAATGGTATAAGACAGTGAGACTAACATTAAATGAAATGTTTACATGGATTGCATTTAATTACAGATAATGTTCTTATTGTGACATATACAACAAAAGATTCAATAAAAAGTTTACATCAAGAAAAGCAATTCAGTGCACTGAAAATCCTATTTCCATAAACTTGTTATTGAATTTGTTAACATACCTTTGACTTCAAAACAGAATTCTGATGATACAGTGCCTTGGACCGCTATGCCAGTGGCAGTACAGGTCACACAAACTCTGCCCGACATCCCACTTGAGACTGTCCAAGTTAACATTGAGACAGTATCTCCATAATCTGGATCGCAGTCTGCGTTGTAAGCACTGTAATTCATGGCTGATAGACTTGGACCACTTGATCCAGTGGTGGGGTATTGCCACGTGTGGTTAACAAATGGTCTGGCCCCTACAGAAGTGCACTTCAGGGAAACTGTATCTCCTACCTTTGGTTCATGCACCTTATTAGTAATGAAAGGAGGTGCAGGGGTCTCTGGAAAACCACAGAGAATACAAAAATAAATAATAATAATAATAATAATAATAATAAATAAATAAAGATGAAATAAATGAATAATAAGAAATACCACTTTATTGAAAATATCGAAGAACACTATACATTTATCCAAAAACTACACTTCCCGGTAAAAACCAGATCCCTAGATACCAGTAGATTAATGGATATATATTCAAATGTTATTGTATGCCTTGCAGACCAAAAGATGCTATGGAATCGTCCTAATTATAAGTGCAGCAGATTACAAACCATATTTTCCCTCTTACTTTTGATTCTAAGGTAACGCTTGCTGGATTTGGATTCAGCACCCATGGTTACCACACACGTGTACTCAGCACTATCTGACTCTTCTGTTGAATTCAAAATCAAGTTACTTCCCAGATTAGAAACACGGTTCTCATAAGTTGAATTGGGGTTTGCAATAACTATTGACGGGGGTATAATGGTAATGGTATTAACTCTAATATCAGATCCATCACATAGTTTTTTATTCCATCCGATATTTCTCATTCCACCAGTATTTGTCTGGAACTGGCATGGTAGCAAAACATCTGTTCCTGGATCTACGTCAAATGGTTGCCCGGCATCTTTTATTGTAATACTTCCATAAGCATCTGCAAATTAAGAAAAAAAAGGTAGCATTAAATGGCATATATAATCATTACATCAGGCATCATATCTGGACTGGAAACTTAAGTAATGCTAAAAGTAAAATATTTAAAAGCGTAACTTTTTGAACCGTCACAAAAAGGAAGAATCCAAAATCAACCGCAGGTTTTAACCACAAGGATTGCCTTTAAAAGATGCAATGTTTATTTGTATTAATTGCAAAATGGATTTAACTTATGTGTTCATAATTACTATTGTACATATGCATGGGATAATCAACACTTTTTCAGTCCAGTCATTTTGCTACTTACTGAAATATTTATACAGTATTATTATTATTATTATTATTATTTAACATGTACGAGAGGTAGAACAATCATATTAAATCTTATTTTTAAAATCTATTCATAAACATAGTAATTGCACTAATGCAAGAATATTGGAGGAAATATGAATTACATGAAAGTTTAGCACAAGGAAATTTATTTATGTTTGGAATTAAATGCATTTTACCTGCTACAATAAGCCAGGCTGATAATAACAGTACGTTCCAACCAACACCTCCCATGTTTTGGTGCAAGTGAAACGAAAGCAGTAACTGCAATAGAATCATACAGATAGCTAACAATTTCAAAATACATTAGTAGCATACAGATCCCTAATAACAACAACAACAACAAAACAAACAAACAAAAAAAATGATGAGCAAAGTTGTGGATGGCGAGTTTGATTATTCAACAAGCAGAGTAGCCAGCAGGCTACATACTTGCAACCTATTTAGTGTTTTCATTACCGTGTGCGTACGCTATATAAGTAAAGACGCCGAGTTGTCAAGTATATATATTTTTTTTCTGTTGCTCGATTAGACTCGTTCTATAGGTTTCCATGTTTTTTTTTCCCAGAGTGATCTTATATAAAGCACAAAAAATATCCCTTAGCGACATTTTAGAGTTCTTGCACACAGTTGTCAAAAATGCGCTGCAAATGTGTAAGAAGAAATTCACCATGCAAGTGAGTTACTGGTTTAAATTTGAAAGGGTTTGAACGCTCCCTGCAGTCTTGCTGTAAATGTCAAGTGCTCTTGCTCACTGGCAGCGAATTTTTGCAAATTTGATATAAGATGTTTATTTCGTGTTGAAAGTTATCTGGAATTTGCGTTAAAGTTATGTCACAGCTGTGTTAAGATAAGCAGAAAAAAATGGAAAAAGCATTACATCTAGTTCAGCTTTACAAAGGTTTTAAAACCCTATACTTACCAAATATCCACCTTCACCTACGAGTCCCTTTACGATGCAGATTATTTTCCTTGGTCTGTTAACATAACACTCCACAGACAAACGAAATGCCTTCTTTATCGTAATATAAAGCTTTCAGGTGTTTAATAGTCAATTAATATCCAAAGCGATAAGATATGTGCGTTTATCGTCTGGTTTTGCCATTTGATATTTTGATAGTCTTCTTACACGTGTCAATTCAACAGTAATATTTTAGGAAGTTTATTTAAAAGCTTGGCAGGGGAGATTTAAGCTTACACGCTACCTAACCTAGACCAAGTATTCGAATGTCAGTTTTTTTTATATTAATCTAACTTTGATTTGTTTACAAAAGTTAAATTTAAAGCAACAGTGTTTGTGGCTTATCCCACGTAGCGCAAATAAATGTGTATAAAATCCCACCACTTTTTAGTGTCGCGGTTTTGAAATCATTTTAATTTATAGTTTATTCTATACGTAATACATTTTACTCATTTTTTAAAATTAAATTTGAGGATGTATGGACTCCATGAAAGAGGTTTTGCATGGTCTCTGGATAAGATAATAAAATATAATTTTTTTCCACTTAAATGATATCAATTTGCATGATGATGATTCAATCCAGTACCTGATGGACCTTGGTTACGTAAAACTACATTTAGTATAATTAATTGTGTTTATGTAGGCAATGCTTTTTTTTAGTTGTGGTAATACCTTTGATAATAATACATAAACGCTTTGTTTATATGAAATAATCTTAGTTTGGTTCTTGTGTCTGCACATTTTGACCTTAAGTATATAGATAAGATAAGAATACACCAAACGTGCATAAACTAGTTTAATTGACTACATAAAAACATTATAATTTTAAATAGGCATCGGTTACTGAATATTGCATTTAAGCAAATAACGTGCGAATGATAAACCTATTTATTGACTGGCTATTATTAATTCCCTTTGTCATCAAAGATACATCACATCGTAAAACACCGTGCAGTTTATGTCCAGCAAACACAGAATGTTACTATAACGTCAGCGTTACGTTATGTAAACGTTGTGGTGACGTTTTAATAACGTTTGTGTTTGCTGGGTGAACTGCGCCTGGGCCCAGTCACACATAAAAAACGTAAGTCAGTTCCCTGGCTTAGTTGACCAGGATTTCCATTAGAGTGCTGAAACACTGTTCCTGATAGGGTAAGATGTATGCATGTTCCATGTCCTTTTTTTGTGAATCTGGGGCCTGGGCTAATAATGGTACATACAAATGTATTAACGTTCATTAATTATTTTAAATGGCATATGTAAATAAACAGTATTCAATTAAATGCGAAGACACCTGTTGTGCTTTATACACGTGTGTTGTTTCCAAAATCAAAATCACTTGATTTAATATTTAAGAACAGCGTAGGCGGGTTGGGTTTCTTCAGCTTGGTAAGGTTTTTCATAAAGGTTATTTTCCTGAAAAGAGACAAATTATTATATCATTTAATCATGTCTTGTTTTAATATAAGCACACCGTGTCGTTGTCTCCTTTCAAATACTTTTTCTATTTAGTCATCCAGATCCATTTAATACTCTTGGAATCCAAACACGTTGCAGGAGGCCTGATTATGATGTTGAAAAATTCACCTTGGAAGTATCAGTACTCGAGTTATCAATCACTTCTTGCTTACTTACCTCTCTACTCTGTATAACGGATAACTCATTGGTGACATTTTCTCGTCCCATGCCATCATTCCTGTTTGCTACAACGAGAAACACACATGGTAAGCATCATCGGGTAGTTAAAATGTGTCATCAAGTGACGAGAAGTAGGGCATCATGCATATACGGTATTAGCATATTTTAGTTGGTTTAGTAATTCAGTTAATATTTTTTTTATCTTAAATTAACTTAGGATACTATTATAATCACCGTTATTGTGATTTCGGTTTCTTCGGCTGAAATACAGGAATACAAAAACACCGGTGACGGCAACCAATACGACTGCAGTTATCACGCCAACCACCGCTCCAGCAGGGAAACTGCCTTGCGCCGTTTGTGCTTCTACAATAAAGTTAAATATAGTATAGTATAGTATAGTATAGTATAGTATAGTATAGTATAGTATAGTATAGTATAGTATAGTCCAAGCATACGACAAATAAAGCTAGTTTTGTGTCCAGTTAAATAAAGGGCGTTTAGCACTATCCACTGTATAAGCGTAACCAGTGGCTAAATCATTATCTCACAGACAAGCGTCATTTAAGATTCCTGACAAACCTAAGGGGAATTTGCTACATCTATCCAGCTTTTAAGAAATATAAACAATCTGGCAGGGACGTGTAAATTTAACCAACCATTTAGGAGATTTAACCGTCTGTTAGCGCTAAACACCGTTTATGAAACATGGTTGAAAACGTTAAATGTTGTATTTAAACGTTGGCTGGTGTTGAACGGCTTTTATAAAACTAGGACCTGATGTTTTACAGGTAGTCTAGATGCAAAAGCAGCCCACTTTGTTTATTATAAAAGATAAATACTTCCTATAGGAGACGGATAACAATAAACTGGTGATATGAAGTATGAGATATTTACAAAAGTGACCTTACACTATCTAAAGCTTATGTTAAATACACACAAATCATACACACCTTGCTTAAAAGGCAATGAAGAGACCACAGCATCGTCCCCCTGGTACACAATCAGAGAGAAGTCATACTGACCACTACCATCAGGCAGTGTGATATCAGCTGATGTGACTGTTACATTGGTTATATTGTGGGTAGCACACTGGCTTGTTCCTCGAACACAGTACTGTATTCCATAACTTGTGAATTCCCCTTCAGGAAGGGACCACTTGATTGTGACAATGTTTCCTTTGACATCCACTGACAGAGACGATTCAGCAATAACTGGTTTAGCTACAGTAAGGATGGATACATTTTTAAGAGTATTTCAGCTGCATGTGCATAAAAATCGTGCCTGTCCGTAAAGTTGTATTAAACTATAGTCTTGCAATTTCAGTTTGCTAGTGAAAAATGCATTTTTGGATTGGTACACATTGTCCAAATTTCAGCAAAAATGTTAAACATGTGTATTACATTTGGTCAATCATGTCATTACTACTACATATTATGCTTTAAGGAACAGGGTTTACTTACATTTAGTCTGCACTACAAGTCCATAAGAATAGCCCCCACTTCCACCCTTATTCCTTGATTCCACTCTAAATCTATATTGAGTGTCAGCCCGTAAATTCCGTACTTTATAACTACGTCTCCGTTTGTACCCAGGGTCTTCTATGTTGGTAATGGATAGCCAGTCTTCACCAGATGCCTTATACTGTATAGTAAATGTCTGTTCATATCCTCCATTTTTGTTTGATGTCCACTGAACAGTGACAGATACTGCAGACACCTTAAAGGCATAAATATCGGTGGGTGGGTCGGGTTTCCCTGCAAATAAGGTGAATAAACGAATTCAAATAAACAAATTGGTAAAATTGACAACGCCTGCCTATGTTTACCGTCGGGTTGATTTTATTTAATTTTCATTTCTGGAAATGTTCTGTTGAGGAAAGGTGTTTTGGTCGTGTGCTAGTACAGTCTGTATAATGTCCAACCAATTAAAATTATTGAGAATGCATCATCCGAAGTTCTCTTGTCACCTCTCATTTCTAAAATGAATGCAAAGCCTCTCTCCCCTGCTGCATTCTTCACAACACAGGTGTACGTTCCAAAGTCTTCGCCCCCCAGGTGTGGTATTGTTAATGTGGATATCTGATTATCAATATCGTGTCCTGGTACAGCATTTGCAGGAAGACTTCCATTTACTCTCATCCAGGTAGAACTGGTTGGTTTTGGATTCCCCACCACATATAAAGTAAAGAGACCCACTGAACCAATGTCTGCAGCCACTTCTCTCACTGTTACCTTTGTGGGGTGTAGTTCTGCACGGTCTGAAATGATTAAAATATGGAATCAGATCTATTAGATGCTATACAACTAAAATAAAAAACATTATATTGACACTAGGCCACTGTTACGGTCACGCTGTAATGCCTTGAATACAAACTGTTCATAATTAAAGGGCGGTCCTCGGCGAGCGTAGCCTGTGACCGTACATATACATTTTTCTTTGAACCACGGCTGGACATTTTAGCAGACATGAAACAGACAGCAATAAGAGCAAGTTTTAGTTGTATGTAGTTCATGTGCAATTATATACATTCATGTTGCTTAAATTCATTCATCTGTGAAATAAATGACACCCCTTCATTTACTTACACTGTACACTGATATAGGAAGAACTCTTTGCGACGGTTCCTACACCATTGCTGGCTGTACAGCTATAGTAGCCATGGTCAGTTCTTGTCACCTTGTCCCCAGTACGGCCTGGTCCAGCAAGTGTCAAGGTACTGGTGACAGTGTCATATTGTGTGACACCATTCAACTGTGGTGTGTCCTGTACTGTGTATAGCTGACTGTTTACATCCTGGTTGCCACGTGTCCACGTGACTGTTGGTACTGGTTTTCCTCGGGCAACACACGTCAGCTGTACTGAGACATCACTTTCGTTGACTGTCAGGTTCTGCGGGTAACTTTGTATTTTGCTTGAGGCTGAGTGATGGTAGTATAATATACGCACGTTTATGACAGTGTTTAGAAATACCGGATTGTAATTTAAGGTTGCTTTTCGTGATTTCTCTCAGTTTTTGCAACATTTTTCTAAAATCATAATCTAGATCTAAAGGTACAATTTTGCACATTAAAATGACTGCTTTAATGTCATATGTAAGAATTTATTATCATGTAACACATGCAACTTTAAAACAAGTTACGAGGTAGAGTACCTCGGGTTACACTCAAAGGTTCAGCAAATACTTTAAACAACTGAATATTTTGAAAAAACGCCTCTTTCCGTATCGGTAACTGATACAATAGAGACGTGAGTTTCCAGAGTGATATACAATGTATTTGGAAAAAAAACATACCGATACAAGGATACCTCAAAGTTTTATTAACCATGAAGTTTCTCAACAATTATTGCAGTAATATGGCGCAATATTTACACTCATCAGAGCACATTCATTAATTTGATATAAAATAGTAAATACCGTACATACCATGTACACGTAACCTCAGTGTAGCAGGGTTACCTCTGCCTATTGTATTGTATGGTCTACAGTGATATGTGCCAGAGTCTGTCAGAGCTGGCTGAAATATCCGGTAACTTGCTGCTTGCCTGCTTGAATCAGTGGAACTGTGGACATACCAGTCAAAGGATGTAGCCTGTGGATTGCCTTTGTCAGAGAAATCACAGTTTAGAGTATGTGACTGACCCTCCACTGCTGTCACAGTGGTGCTAGATTGACCACCGTCCACAGTGGCTCTGCCAGGAGGATCTGGAGTGGACAGAGGTTTCTACTCATCAGATATGATACAGGTAAAATGCGGCACACAGAGGCCTACCATCAAATTGTAAATTGGGTTATGATTTTTATAGTTTGCATTTCATGTGTCATTGTAGTTCACTTCGGCGTTCCAGGTTGATACTTACTAAACACCCGTAGATTGTCGTAACACCTGTTTATCAGACGACAAGTTTAATATATAAGTTTCATGTAATACTGTACAATATATGTACATGATAAGAGCCAAGCAGTCTGTGGCTTGCATATGGATATGTCGGAATGACAGTGAATCGTTTCTTGTGAGTATCATTGATCTATCATGATTTTTAGATTAAAAAAAGGCTTACAATCAATTTAACGAACTGATATAATTAAATCGGCAATATAATAATAATAATAATAATAATAATAATAATAATAAAACTTACATTCCATAGTTATGACCAAATATCCCTTAGCATTAATGTAAATACATTTTATACATTCAAAAGCACAACAAAGCAAGCTATCAACACGACAAATCAAAGTGCAACTCGCTAGTACTTGCTTGTAATAGTTTTATGCACCACAACTTAATTTTTTAAGAACAAATGCTCTTTCCAAGCATATTGGACTGTGCATGACGTATATAATGCATTCCCTTCTTTTAAAATTTGAAAGATTCACACATGTACATATGTACACTGCACAATAGATGTGTTACTATATGTTGTAAAGTTGTTAAGGCTAACACTTTCTCTTATTGCAAGAAACAACTAAACAGGAATCAAATGAGTGAAATGATGAGGAATTATTGAGTGTAAGTTAAATTTCTTTAAGATTTAACAAGGAAGGAATTGTACAAACTGTCCCTGTGGTAGAAAAAGAAGGAACATGTCAAAAGTCTCATATATAGTTCCATTTGATTGGTTAATTTCTCAAAAGATTTGCAAGTTTCTGCCACTTGTTTAACTCATGCAAACTAAAGTCGGATATGGTCCAGGCATGAGTAATTATAATAACATTTTAATGGTTTCAATTGAAAACAAGTCTCATAGAAATTACTTAATAAGGGAATGGTGAACTGTTGTTTGCAACATGACAATGGGCAATTTCTTATAATCACACAAAGACAATGGAAAGAAAATCAGTAAATGCGTGATCAGTACAGAGAAATAAAGTATAAATACTTGTGAATTTGAATGTAAAAAGAGGGTCGGTGAATAAATGTTTGAAAACCCCAGAATGTCGTTATGGGCACTATAATACACATAAAGATATATGTATTGAGTTGGTTATATACTTACACTGAACATCCAGTGCCACGCTATCTGATGTATTGGATCCTGCTGCATTCTGTACACTACACTGATATGGTCCTTGCTGCGATCTCTGTATACTGGGTATTGTCAGTATACTGAAGGTGTTAGCAGTGTCAGGTGTGCCAGTTAGTGAAGTACTACCTCTACTCCAGGTATAGGTAAGTGGTGGAGTACCTGTAGCTGACATACACTTCAGTTTGGGATAGTCGCCTTCACTAACAGTAAATCCTGTAGACTGGTAACGTGTGATAACGGGTTTAGACGGAGGAACTGAAATAGATGAGTATTGATGGTAGTAAGGGTGTATCACAGATGAAATGAAACTGTACGTAAGCCCTTGATTGTACTGGCGGTGCCAGTAACTGCAACATTCACACACACACACACACACACACACACACACATAAATAAATAAATAAATAAATTTAAAAAAAAATATGGATCATCATCAGAATCATATCACTTTTACGTTAGGACACCATTGACCTATCTTTCAAATTTCACCAAAACCCATTCATGACTTTTTAAGTTAGTTTGTATTGCCAGGCTACCGACGATCAAACGAGGTTAAAACAAGGTAATGAACCTCAACACACGCACAGAGAGAAAAAAGAGAAAAATAGAGACTCAAACACCCCTGTACCTACCTCTCACCACCATTTGAATCTGTTTATCAGGTATGATAGGGGAATCGCATCCCAAGTTCAACTGAAGTTTACACGTGTAGTTACCAGCATCTGCGGCTGTTGCTGCTGAAAGCTGCACTGTGGCTGGTTTGATGAAGGTGTAATTACGGGTCCACTGGTCTAGTGTGCCAGCGTCTAGGATCTTGTCATTATACAATGTCAACACCAAGACCAGTCCTAATGGATTCCTCCATGTGATTATATACAAATAATTGGAAGGCTGGTAGTTGGCTGTAAAGCTACAGTCTACGGTGAACTGTCCACCTTCATTGGCATATTGGCGTGCTGGGACTTGCCATTGGAAATGACAGGGAGCAGCTTGGACATATATCGCTAAAAGAATTACATGCATGGCGCAAATTGTAAAATATCAGAGAAATAGAGAGAGAGAAAGAGAGAGGAAGAGAGGGAGAGAAGAAGAAGAAGAGAGAGAGAGAGAGAGAGAGAGAGAGACTGACTGTGGAAACAAATATCAATACCAGTAAGGCTCACACGCCTCTAAAAGCCCCTTTACACTGGAAGGCTACCTTTAATTTTGTCACGCTTGCGCTAACACAAAACTGCTCAGGTCTTCGTTGGTCAGAAGAACGAAAGAACGCACGGTGACCGCTGGAGTCGTATGCAGTATATTCGGGCGTCACCGTGGACGCCATGGTCGCAGTAAAGTTTCCACATGATAATTACAATCGGATAAAAGATGTTGGGCGCTATACGGTCGCTCAAATAGGTTGCACAGAGGACGCACGGGTCACTAATAGATCTACAGAACAAAAAAAATTCGACTGTTCAAAGGGCGTGCACGGGTTGCAGTGGGACTCTTGCTTTGGTCTTCTTGCTTAAGCCACCATTGAGAGTTTTGGTCACATTTTGGTCGTAAACGGGATGCACAATGTGTCCTTTCAGTGTAAAGAGGCTTAGGTCAAGGTTAAGTTGTACCTGTTGCAATGGAAATCGCTGAAAACCACACAGTAGCAGCTCCCGCCATGACCTGATGACGTCAAACTGCCAGTTTCCTTAAAACGAATATATTCTCGAGTTAAGCTCTGTTTCCATACCTGCTATGACATTTAAATGTATTTCTTTTTAAAACCATGCTGCAAACATCATTTCATTTAGTTTTTGGTATCCTTCAATTCCGCTTGCTATGAACGCGTGGCTTACATGTATCAGCATACCCCTTACTACACCAGGGAATATGTGACATGTACGCTTCATTTGTACATACAGAAATATGAATTCACTGCAACGGATTCAACTGGCATATTTATTTGTTGTAATAGTAGGCCTTTTACATCGAAAAGTGCATATAAACACCAAACATGCCTACCTGTTTTAACCAGTCACCTCAGTTATGTCTCATTGCTATGACCTGGCGTGATAACATTTTTGTTTTACTTCCTGTTTCCAAATTAGACTAGCTATAGTCGGTCGGTGTTTACAGAGTCTTTTACACGAACGCTTCTGTTATCAGTTATTTAAACTTAAATCAGAGTGAGGGCTTTTGCTGCACTAAATCAACAAGAACCGCGCTCTTCTACATGTATCAGTATTGGACGTCAGTGATATGTTAATTGTATGGTGTTGGTGTAAAAAGCCCTTTTTACGGCATGTGTTTTTCCAAGCAGCTGTAAGGTGATCTCAGTTTAACGGACCCACTAGAGTCAACTGAATAGACTGGTACCACATCAACATACTTAAAAAAGATACTTAGGTTCAACACACTATGTTCACGTTAGTGCAAGACACACACCGTTATAGAAAAACGTTACATACCTACATCAAAGCATGGGGGTGCAGAGGACACCTTGTTGTGTTAGTTGTATAAGCTATGAAACCTAACACAATAACAGATACCCTGTGTACCGAAAATGATGTTGGTGTAAAAAGCCCCTTCACGGCGTGTTTTTTTTCCAAGCTGTTGTAAAATGATCTCAGTTTAACGGACCCACTAGAGTCAGCTTCATCTATAAACCTGTAGTGATCGGAAGCGAGATGGACTGGTACCACTTCAACAATAATAGCACACTATTTTCATGTTTATGACAGACACACACACAGTTTTTGAAAAAATAAAAAAAAAAAAGGTTACAAACCTACATCAAAGCGTGGGGGTGAAGAGGGCACCCTGTTATGTAAGTTGTATAAGCTATGACACCTAACACAATAACCGACAGCCGGTGTAACGAAACTGAGGAGCTGTGTAACAGTAGGTCCTCCCTCCATTTAGTTATAATACAGGCCGTAGCCGGGGGGGGGGGGGGTTCGAAAGAACCACCCTTTTTGCTGAGAAAAATGTTCACTCTGGATGAAATTTTATCTAGGTACATAAAGGTTTTATGGTAAAAGGTCCACTTTTATGGTAAAAGGTCCCCATTTTAAATTGCTGGCTACGTACCTGTAATGGATAGGGTTAGATTGATCTAAGTGGATCAAAATCTAAGGCGAGGCTCACCTGTACAAATGACTGGGAGGTGGACTCTTTGTTATGGGGAACTCTATGTCACGTTACACCGGGACACATGAACATTGATTTGACCTCACATACTTCACTGTGCTTATACTGACACGAAGCATCATATAATAAGATATGTTAGCGACAGGATGTGTTAAACTCAGTTTTATTCAGATAATGATTATGATTTTTCTGTCGGTCCAGTATGTCATACGTTTACCTCATAGAAATCGGTCGTTCAGCACGGCCGTAGCCCAATGTAGAATTCATAACCATTCACCTCCCCTCAAATATAAAGTAAACGTGTTGACTATGCGCCTTTGATTCTAGTAGTTTAATTTGTTGTTTAATAGGTTGATTGCCAAAAAAAGTCTATCATTGGTAACAGGTAAAAGAGCCAGATAAAATATTGTCAGAAAGCGTATTTTCATTTTTTGATAGAAGAAATGTATTTACCTTTATTTATTTATTTATATTATTATTTTGTATATACCTATATTAATGCATGTAGCTGAAGTGGGAAGATTTCTGACTTTTGCTTATGGAAAAAATCGTTCCAATGCATTTTCATTCATAAATGATCTAGATCTGGATGTGTAGAAAGAAAATACATTGCATCGAAGTGATTTAAGAGTGCTTTATTTCTAATTTTCTATTCACTGATGGACATTTTCGCCAAAAAAGTCCCTGGCAAAAAAACATATCGATTCTAAAGTGGCTTAACGTTTTTATACCTTTTAGGTATCATAGTATAAGTAACAACAGGCGTCCTATTTTACCGAATATTGTTGTTCTACTGTATACGATGGTATTGCACACAAAGAGGCCGTTGAAAATAAACACAATGCGAAATACTTGATATGCCATTACACCCACGAGGAATTAATTGGAAGCTTTCCAGTGTAACTAACCTGCCAAATTTCTTGGTAAAATTGAAACCTTGTTGATATTGTCTGGCCAATATATTGGTCAACCATAACTGTAGATGTTAGCACTTTAATGTGACTTCACCGATCTAGTTTATTTGGGGTCCATTTACCTAACATCACACGGTCATACTTCCATACTAAGAAAGTTGCTTTGTCATTTTGCCCACACCCTCCCCAATAGCAAATTACTGGATTAGCTAATGATTTACACGATGACCCATTTTTTGAATAAATCGAAACAGTTTCGGTAATTGGGATACCGTTAAAAAACTGCACCACAGCTCCATTTAAAACGTGTAAGACCATGTGAATATCAAGTTCCAGATATATGAGAAAACACGTGACCAACGTGTTGATCTGGTGAACCAAAGAAACATTCTAATTATATACCCCTAAATGTACTATATACCCCCAATATTCTTTACAACAGCGGAAGCTTACTACCATTGTACCACATCTTTTTCTCGGCATAATTTGAAGGAATTACATTTTTTAGATAACAATATGTGAAAATAGCCTACTGGCGGTTATGTGTGCATGCTAATGCTAATCGAGCATTTTTTTAATAGAAATACAGAAGCCCTGAAATCAAGCATAACGTAGCCAATCAAAAGTTTCCATACAAACGACTATAATAAATCTGGCAACCATAATTTTCCATGAGGTGGTTGTCTGTTTGTATTTTATAGTCACAAAGTGATATAAAAAGATATATCTTGATACTCCAGTTACCTGCCTATGATTAATGCTAGATTAAATAATTGCAAAATACAATTCATATCGGTCTGGGTAGGTAAATAAAAAATGATGCCTTGAGAAATGCTCTACACTAACCTTGAAAGCATGTTACAATTAGATACATATACTGAATATTTGATTAAATTTTATATGTGTTGCTATTTGACAATAAAAAAATTTTCTCTGAATACAAAATAATATAATTGATTATATAGAATGTAATAACAACAGTCTATTATCAATGATAAAGACGATGGTTTCGAACGAAGACTTCGTTTCTCGAGTACATGTAACATGTCAGCTGTTATAAATCGGGGGTAAGAACTCAACAAAAAATAAAATAAAAAATAAAAATAAATAAATATATAAAATAAAATAAAATAAAATAAAATAAAATAAAATAAAATAAAATAAAATAAAATAAAAAACAAAACAAAACAAAACAGAACGTTATTAAAACGTTAACCTAACGTTAATAAAACAAAAAATGTTATGGTAACGTTTTGATAACGTTCTGTGTTGTTGGATGGTAACCATATGCCGTTGGACCGTCAAGAAGAGTCGTGTTAGAGTCATTTCATTTAATCACGTCGGTTATGTCTCTTTTCCAAAAGTTTCATCAAAGCATCTCGTAGAACAGTATTTCTGTTTTCACCTTCTTCGTCGTCCTCGTCCATTTCATTTTCGTCGTCGTCGTCTCTCTCGTTGTCGTTCTCTTCATCATCATCGTCGTCATCATCATTTTCATCGGCTTCTCTGTCGTCTGCTTCATCGTTGTCATCATCATCATTGTCATCTTCATCTGCATCTCTGCTATCTTCAAAGTCATCCATGATTCTTCGCAGAGTCATCTTTATTTCTGAGATCAACTTCCGCTTCAGTGCTTTCCTTCCCTCGTCATTTAGCTTACTAATATCGTGCTCGTCTTTGTTTTCTGCTCCTTGCTCTTTCTTGACAGTCTTTTCAGCGTCACCGGCTGCTTTATCTTTTAAAGTTTTCTCCAGTAATTTCCGAAGTGCGTCCACCCTGGCATCGTCATCTTTCTCTCTCTGGTGTTCCTTTTTCTCAACTTGGTCCTGTATTTTTTCAGCAGATCCTAATTCTGAATCGATTAGTTTATCTTTAGATGCATCTGCTTCCTTTTTGTCAGTTGAGGCCATGCTCTTCTTCTTCCCTTCAATCTTTTCTTTCTTAACCGTTTGTTTCTTCGCATCTTTTTCTTTGAGGGCTTTCATTGCTGTTTGAAAAAGGTCCTCAACTTCATCATCGTGCGCTGGATCATCCTTATCATTGGCGTCATCAGCATCATCTTCCTCGGCATTAACATCCGTCTTCTGGTCTTTCTTTTCATCAAGGTTTTCCGTCTTCATCTGGTCAGCGGATGCGTGTTCAAGTATTTTGAGCAGCTTAGTCTCGTCGTCGTCATTAGTGTTCTTGGTTTCATCATCTTGCGCAGAAAACTCCTTGCTGCTTATTTTACCGTCACTGTTTCCGTCCAGTAATTCGAATTTCTGGAGAATCATATCCTCAGAAAGTTTGTCATGGCCGTCCTCGAGAGAGGCTAGGTATTCCTTCATGTTCAAATTCCCGTTACTGAAAAACGAAGTTGAAATAATTTAATCAACATGTGTTGCTTGTGACCTAAAAATGAAAATACACGAAGAAAGAATGACCAGTAAATTAACCAGTTAATAAATGAGTAAAATAATCAAAAGAAAAAAATGACCAATTGATATGATTATTGAAAAAAATATCTGATACCAGTGGCAACAATGTCACGTGGATTATAAGCATTATCAGATGATAACACCACGAAAGTATTAAAAGGGCAAGACAGCAAATGTACTTTTTAAGGATACTGAAAGCTTTTACCAGGAATGTGTTTATTTTAACGAACTTTTATAGGTGTGTTTTAAAAAGTATTTTTACTTATACAGTAACTTTTTGGTATGGGCGTGTAATTGTTCAGGATAAAAACCAACTAGAAAAGATTGTTTAAACGGCAAGTAATGTAATTGGAATGGATCCTACCCCCATTCATTCCCTTTATCTCGATAGGGTTAAAAATACAACAGCTTCCATCGCGACTGATACCACTCACCCAACTCATACACTATTCATTTATTACCCAGTAACTCGAGGCTTTTAGTTTTTCAGCAGTAACTCTTTTAACACTAATATGTAATTTCATTCTAGTACATTTAAATATTTTTATTTAAAAATGACGATATTTCAGGGCACAAGTTTCCCGATTTTATATTTTGTACAGTATTTTATTGGTTTAGTAAATTATTATCTCTTATCTTATGAATGAGATATGATGTGCCAACTGAATTCAGACGGAATGTGGACATTAGATGCCCGTTATACATTGCTTGACCGTTGTTGGACAGCAATGAAATGGTTGGCAACATAGAATTGATACGTGCTTTGTGGGAAGGTCTCTATGCCATACGCCTTGTATCATTTGATTTTGTTCAAAAAGAAATAAAAATTATAAAATTCATCATACGTTTTGGGCACAGCCCAGAGTGTTTAAGGATAAATTGGTCAAGGCACAGGTCAGTCGGTACAGAGGTGATTGCATTACCCCAGGCAAGCACGTTACTACCGTCAGCACAATTCAGATGGAAGGTAAGTGACAATCATTTATTTCGTGCGTATCTCTTACCTTCATTTTTTTTGTTAGAGGACTTAAGAAAATATCTTGTTGCTGATGTCTACAGAGTTTTGTTACTTTGCACCCAAATAACTGGGGAGCCTCACAAGGTGAAGTTCCTTTGTCAACGACGAAAAAACAACTTTGTACTTAAAATGAAATTCTATAGGATAAAAATGTAAGATTACACCTGAACAGGTTTAAGTGTAGCGTGGATAAATGGTGCACATTTGCGTGTACAGAACGCCCTTAGATTCATGATGTTCATCCATGTATGGAGAGGGAATGGAAAAATACTTTAAAATATAATCTATGCGACAAGATACATTAACACATACATGAAAGTAAAAAATAAAAATAAATCAATCAATAAGTTTTCATTTAGGCATATAAGAGGTTGCAAATTACCACCACCTTCCAAGTCCACAGGATTGTATTTTATTTTATTTTATTTTATTTTAAATAATCACAGAATTTTCTCCACAAAATTGACTTTCAATCAGCCAGTCTCCGTATGTTGAGTCTTCGGGTCGGAAACATTTCTTGAAATGCAGTCGTTCTTTTGGCAATATCACAAGAAATAAAGCGATATTTTACAAAGAAGTGTGTCGTCTGCTCGGTGTAGCAATCCAAGTCCTTCTTTTGGCTATAGTTGGAGAAATAAAGCGATATTTTACAAGGAAGTGTGTCGTCTGCTTGATGTAGGCCTACAAGTACCAATCCATGATGAGGTTTGAATGTGCGGCGTCGGGCGTTTTATAGTGACTGGTGAAAGCGGTAACATAATCTTTGGACGAAATTATTTCTATATTTAAGTGCATTTTCTTGTTATTGTCCAAGAAAGTAATGGTCGTCACCTCGTACATTGTACAACCAAAGGATGCCAGGTCAAGCACTAGTGACTGGTGAGGTCGTGGCTATCACTTGTCACATTCTTTATTTCCCCGTTTTTAACGCTACTTTTCTTATGGCACACAAATGTATGTATTCTTAGGTAACGTGGTGATTGTTTTGTGGTATATCTCTACGATTTTGCACCAAAGTAATTTCCCTTGTGTTTGTGCATGCCTGTGTGTTTGAAGGGGGGGGGGGGGGGGGGGGGGGCACGTGCGTATCTTTATTATAAAATTAACAAAAGTCAAGCAAGATTATACAAAATTAGCTTAGGCTACAATATACTTGAACTAAAGCAAAAATATTTCATCCTTGTGATCATCACTCCCTTGAGCAAAATTCTCAATTTGTCGGTGGACTCCTCCAGGGCATCAAAATTAAAAAAAAATGTAGCATTGCCTAATTTCCCTTTATGACGCTATTAAATTGAAATATCAGGTGTACGGTGTCAGGGTTTTTTATTGTTTCATTTTCTCAAGGCATTTTTTTTTTCAAAAATTCTCATTCAAAGAATTTTTTTCAAAGAAAACCTGTGCTGCATTTAATAAAACAATTAGCATATTTTGCACATGGTATTTGCACAATAATTGACCTCATCAATCAGCTTGTCTCTGGCAGAGAGTAACGAATTGCTATGTGTCTTTTCTTCGGAAACGTCTCATGACCTATAAAAGTTGATGCTTTTTATTCACATAAATAAATAAAGCGATATTTAACAAGACAATGTGTTGTCTTTTTGATGTACATGTACTAATAACGCGGCGAAATCATATGGTGGTCATACGGGTCATTGCCTCGTGAATTAGGTTACTTAAAATATTGACAAATTTGCTTCTTTATGTATAAACATTTCCATGTATTGGTGCCTTTAATGAATGCAGAAATGCATGGCGGGAGGAATACATAAAAGCAAACAATTAATTGTCGTGGTCTCATAAATCATATGGTTTTATCCGCAAGTAGAGACCAAAAAAATGATAACAAAAGAAGTTTAAGCTAGTGAATATCACATGTTCCATTCTTCTTTCCCCGCTTTTCTTTTGGAATACAGTATGAATTCTAATAATACCTGGTGATGGTTTAGTGGAATAACTCCACGATTTTGCAACACATTTCTCCTCCGTGTGTGTGCGTGTATTTTTGTGCGTGTGTGTGAGTAAATGTGTGTGTGCGTGTGTACATGTGTGTGTGTGTGGGGCGGTGGGTGGGTGGGTGGAAAGGTGGTTGGTGGACCTCGAGAGACCCTTTATTGAAAAGAAGCGAATGGTAAGCAAAATAACACAGGATTGTCTCAGGCTATAATTTATATCTACTGTGGGAGACAAGGCAAATTACTTTGTTTCTTGTACTCCCTACCCCTTAAGCAAAATTTTAGATCCGCCACTGCATTTCCCCGTTTTGAAAAGGTGAAGGCGATGTTTTCCTTTTCTTTCCTCGCTTCACTGCTATTTATTTTTTTAATTCTATGGTAAATTGGAACCACAATCGTTGCTCTATATTTCATACTATTATGTAGTGTTGGGGAGTGTCTTATCTACCAGTAATCCCAGCTGAATAATAGTGTTATAGCAACCTCACGGGATAATGCTTTCTCATATAAGACGCAATTTTACATGGGTATGCACACGAATCATATATTTGTGTCAGCACTGTCTGTTATTAGAACTCCCTAATAAAGGTGAGGTCTCTGGGCTACATATCTACAAACAATTGTGTCCCATATTGGACCCTGTCTAAACTTGCTAAACACCCGACCCAAGGGTATTTTTTTCACATTAATCAGGCAAAATAACACGGAATATTGATTTTAGGGAGAACACAACTACATATACATAAGAACATTAAGCGCCCATGGCCAAGGGTTAATACATATGCAACACCTCTCAGGAACTGCGTTGAAAACAAAACCAGGTATTTGAGCTTTATTACAAAGAACTTCATAATCTTACCTATCTTTATCAAAATCGTCAAACTTTCGACTAGTACCAGGGGGACCGGCGGAAACCCCGTCAATAACGCACAGCAACGCACCAACGATAACCACGGCGAGGGATGTTTTCATTATCTGCATCTCGGTGTGCTTGGTCTCCTTGATTCAGAAACACCTTTTGCTAGGAATTTAATGACTTGGAACAAGTAGAGATGGTAGGGTCTCTGGGTCTCCTCAAAATAAGAGTACTGTAGACTGACCTCTGCCTGTACTTGTCTACCAGATAGAATGTTAGTCCTCCAAATCAACGGTGAATTTGGGACTCTTGCTAGCCCGAAGGATTAAGCAGAAGCCTTAGACCTAGAGTAAAGATCGCAAAGGGAGTCGCCTTAAATACCGCCTCCAAATCAACTCGTCACACCAGATATTCTACACATACATATAATACTTTATTATAAATAGAGTCTTCCAAGCGAAAAAAGTGGTTTTAGACCCCACTGTGGGCTCCGTGGTGCATTTAGAATAAGTTTGTCGCTATTCATACCCAGCGAATATACCTTTTGACTGGGAAATTTGAATCTGAAAAGGACATACTTTATGTTTTTTTGACACAATGGAGAATGACCGCCTTGATGTCCATAGTGCATGAGCGTCACAGGTGAAAGAGTCCCACCGTAACACCCGGCTGATTCTATATAACTCAACACATTATAGGTGGCTGAAAGCTGTGCTAAAGGCACTCCCATACTAAGCTGTTAGCGAAAATAATATACGCAGACAGACGCAATATGCGTAGGCAAACGTTCAAACCTTGAATGTGTGAATACCAGGAGAATGCTGTGAGCATGTTCAAAAACAATTTTATACGTCGCTTATATCCTCACTTAAACACGCTGGCAACGGGGTTATTTCATACGCTCAAAGTTTTCATATAAACAATGTCACACAGGACACTTATACATGTGTAGGTATGTCTTTACGCTAGTTGTAACAGAGGCTTTATTTGGAGATGCTTTTCGTCGCCTCGGCCGAGCACCAACGCGTTTAGGAGAGTACATTATATGGATTTTCGGCAGGCTTTAGAATTTATTCTATGCGACGGCGGATAGAGAACAAAGAAAGGGCTTCAACCGGCACACATATACGTGTGTGTGACGGGGCAAAGTAAAACGTGCGGGGGTGGGGGCAGCGATTGCAATTCGAATAGCGAATTCATTGATAATAAGACATATTATTTATCGTTTAACTTGATTTAATTTGTCTTTCAGTATGCTGATACGTTTACAAAAGCCCCAGTAAGTATTAATAATCAACCAATGATTATTATCACATTTAATGTTATTCATTGCTTCCGGTTGTCTGACCAAATTGGTGTTCATCTCAACAACAGCAATTGCCCGAGCCGCACCGCCTACCGGAGGTAATTTCACTACGCTCCTAATGTTCAACAAGTGTAAATTTGGTGACATTAATTTTGGTGGTGTCTTATCAATTTACTGGACACTTATTTACCTTTGTGGAAATCACAGTTTGAGGACATACAAGCTATGAATCTAAATAAATGCTTCAAATTACTGTTTTTCTTTTTATCAAGAGCTTGTAAAATATGTGGGTATTACCTCCAATATTTCTGTGACTGTCAGTCACCATCATCAGGGAGTAAATGACTAGGGTCATTTCACCTGGAATGAAAATCGGTGACTGACAGTCACAGAAATATTGGAGGTAATACCCACATATTTTACAAGCTCTTGATAAAAAGAAAAACAGTAATTTGAATTTATACATACAAAGCTAATGAAACTGTTCTCTCATAAATAAATGCTACAAAGTATGGACATCTTTACCGCTATTTTGTCTTTTCTGTACCATTAATCATATTAGTCAGGGGCGGATTTAGGCCGTCTTCTGGGTCTTCCGGAAGACGGTCAGATTTTTAAGTTTTCATTGACGGGTATCTAATATTTTCTGTCGGAAGACGGTCAGAAATTGAGGACGAATTAACAGAGATAATTTGGAACATTGTCAGAAAATATCTCTGGATCCGCCCCTGTTAGTTATATATAATCATGACGTCTGGAATAAAATGCACTGTTTGTAACAATTACACCTGTGAGGTGATCATTTATAAGCGGCCATTTTTAGCAATGTTGTCAGCAGACTGCATAAAATATCAGTGAGACGCAATTGATCCCGGTGTACCATGAAAATCTGAGTCCCCCAAAATGTGACTCCCCAGTCAAATTTTCATAATGAAAATGTGACTCTGCCCATGAAATTTTGACTCCCCCAAAAAAATTTTATAAATATAATTTTATTTGAGTATATGACTTTTATATTGTGGTATGCATAATGGAGGATACATTTGCTATTTTTGTTAGTTTGCAGATGAAAATTTTAATGAGAAAATAACAAAATTAAAAATGTGTATTTTATCACCCAATGACTCCCATATGAAAAAGCTTTTTATTTGATTTTTACTTGGTGATCATTTCAACATTTTTCCCTTTAGTATACTTTATGAAGAATACATTGAGAATATTTGAAAGTTTGGTGGTAAAATATATGGTGCAAAAATAAAAAAAGATAATTATGAAAAATCTTTATATTCATACCCATGGTAATTTGGACTCTCATGAAGAAAAGGCACTATTTTATATTAAGTCACCATACCATTGTTTTTACATGGTTTGCATTGTGACGTATATTTTATTAGTATTTAAAAGTTTGGTGCTGGAAATTTTGGTGAAACTTGATAATTTTTTAAACAAGTATTCATCTAACTAACTGTAGGATTTGGACTAGCTCAGCCTTTTCATGGGAGTCACTGGGTGAAAAAAATATTTTAATTTTCTCATTTCCTCATGAAAATTTTCAAAAAGTGCCAATCCTTCATTATGCATACTTCAAGACAAAAGTTATATATTCAAATAAAATAAGATTTATAAAGGTTTGTGAGGGGGAGTCAAAATTCCGTGGGGAGAGTCAGATATTCATTATGAAATTTTGACTGGGGGTGTTAGATTTTCATGTTACACCGGCTCCAACATGAAGGCGTCATCTGCTCATGACATAAATGTATCATCGTTTTGAGCTTCACTTATCTCTACCTTACGTCTTACGGGAAGTATCTTATTATTGAGATATGATGTGACAACTGTGAATTGAGACGGAATGAGAGGCATGGATGGTGTTGAATGTGGCTGGGATGGACATTAGGTGCCCGTTATACATTTGCTTGACCGTTGTTGGACAGCAATGAAATGGTTGGCAACATAGAATCAACACGTGCTTCGTAGGAAGGTCTCTCTGCCACACGCCTTGTATCATTTGATTCTATTCAAAAAGAAATAAAAATAATAAAAATCGTCATCATAAGGTTTGGGCACAATCCAGAGTGTTTAAGGATAAATTGGTCAAGGCACAGGTCAGTCGGTACAGAAGTGATTGCATTACCCCAGCCAAGCACGTTACTACCGTCAGCAATATTAAGATGGAATGTTTGTGACAATCATTTCTTTCGTGCGTTTCTCTTACCGAGATTTTTTGTTAGAGGATTTAAGAAAATATCTTATTTCTCAATTTGTTGGTGGACTCCCCGAGGGCATCAAATTTAAAAAAAAAGATGTAGCATTGCCGAATTTCCCTTAATGACGCTATGAAATTGATAGATCAGGTTTACAGTGTCAGGGTATTTTTTTATTGCTTCTCTTTCTCAAAATTTTTCATTTTTTTCCCCAAAAGTTCTCATTAGAATCAGAACAAAGAAAAAGCATTTAATAAAACAGTCAGCATAGTTTGCACATAGTATTTGCACAATAATTGACGTCATCAATCAGCATGTCTCTGGCAGAGAGTAACGAATTGCTATGTGTGTTTAGAAACCTCTCATGACCTATAAACGTAGATGTTCTTTATTCAAATAAATAAATAAAGCGATATTTAACAAGGCAATGTGTTGCCTTCTTGATGTACGAATAACGCGACGAAATCTCATGGTGGTCATACGGGTCATTGCCTTGTGAATTAGGTTACTTAAAATATTGACAAATTTGCTTCTTTATGTATAAACATTTCGATGTTTTGGTGCCTTTAATGAATGCAGAAATGCATTGCGGGAGGAATACATAAAAGCAAACAATTAATTGTTGTGGCCTCATAAATCATATGGTTTTATCCGCAACTAGAGACCAAAAACATGATAATAAAAGAAGTTTAAGCTAGTGAATATCACATGTCCTATTCATCTTTCCCCGCTTTTCTTTTGGAATACAGAATGAATTCTAATAATACCTGGTGATGGTTTAGTGNATGTTTTGGTGCCTTTAATGAATGCAGAAATGCATTGCGGGAGGAATACATAAAAGCAAACAATTAATTGTTGTGGCCTCATAAATCATATGGTTTTATCCGCAACTAGAGACCAAAAACATGATAATAAAAGAAGTTTAAGCTAGTGAATATCACATGTCCTATTCATCTTTCCCCGCTTTTCTTTTGGAATACAGAATGAATTCTAATAATACCTGGTGATGGTTTAGTGGAATAACTCTACGGTTTTGCAACATACATGTATTTCTCCTCTGTGTGTGTGTGTGTGAGTAAATGTGTGTGTGCGTGTGTACATGTGTGTGTGTGTGTGTGCGCGCGTACATGTGCATGTGCGTGTGTGTATGTGTGTGTGTGGGAGGGAGGGTTGGTGGTGGACCACGAGAGACCCTTTATTGAAAAAAAACATAGCAACCAAAATGACACAGGATTGTCGCAGGCTATAATTTGTTTCTACTGTGCGAGAGAGGCTACTTTGTTTATTTTTTCTTTCTTTCACCCCTTAAGCAAAATTTAACAATCGGCACTGCATTTGAAAAGGTGTATGCGCTGTTTTTCTTTTCTTTCCTCGCTTCACTGCCATTCATTTAAAAAAAAATTTTCTAAGGTAAATTGGAACTACAATCGTTGCTCTATATTTCATACTATTATGTTGTGTTGGGGAGTGTCTTATCTACCGGTAACCCCAGTTGAACAATAGTGTTAGAGCAACCTCACGGCAGAATGCTTTCTCATATAAGACGCAATTTTACATGGGTA